GGGGGAGGGGCAGAGAGAGAGGGAGACACAGAATCAGAAACAGGGTCCAGGCTCTGAGCCATCAGCCCAGAGCCCAACGCGGGGCTCGAACTCACGGACCGCGAGATCGTGACCTGGCTGAAGTCGGAGGCTTAACCGACTGCGCCACCCAGGCGCCCCAAGCATCCAACTCTTGATCTCAGCTCAGGTCTGGATCTCAGGGTCATGAGTTCAAGCCCCACATTGGGCTCTTACTGGGTGGGAAGACTACTTTTTAAAAAAAAAAAAAAAAAAAAAAGGAGGGCTACATTTTCCATTAGCGTAGCAGTGCTTAGCTGCTAAAGTAGTACTCTGCTGATCCACAAAGCCAATCACACTTTTGCCATTGAATGACCCAAGTTTATCAAGGTGTACGTATATGAGTGGGAATGTGTATGCATTTCTTAATGAAACCAAACATTTTCCTAAATACAAAAGTTTGAAAGCTGGTCTTAATGAAACTTCATAGCAAAATGCCTAAGTTAAATGCTTCTGCTTCCTTAATAAGTTTTTACCAGTTGTCTAGCCATACATATAAAAATTTCACTTCATCATTTTGTGTTTCTTGAATTGATGCCTGCTCTGTTGATTTAACAGCAGAAAGTTTTAACTCCCTGGAGAAATCTTATTTCGTTTACATCTCAACTCTCAAAGAGATGTTTTAATGGCACACATTCTCTAGGAGCTTCCTTTAAAGAGATCGTGGAAGATTAATGTTATTTGAGGCTTGCATATCTGAAAGCATTTCTGTTTTATGTTTCCAATTAATGTACTTGCCATGGCATAGAATTCTGGGTTGTAATTAATAATTTTCTGAGTTTTGAAGAGCTTTTTCCCTTATCAGCCCTGAAGCCATTCTGGTTTCACCTTATGTGATCTGGTTTTGGTTTTGGTTTTTCCTTTGGAAAGCTTTTAGGGTTTTCTCTTCAGCCGCAGTCTGTGAAATTTCACAAAGATGTTCCTTCGAATGGGTCACTTTTATCTTTTGTTCTGTGCACTTGCTGGGCTTTTTCAATCTAGAAACTCATGTCCTTTCATTTTAGAACAATATTTTTAACATTCTTTGATTTTCTTCTCTTCTTTGTTCTCACTTTCTAGAACTCATTCGAACGTTAGACTTTATTTCTTAGCTCTGTTCTATTCTCTGAACTTTTAAAAGTAGTATCCTGTTCTTTTATGTAATATCTTCTATTTTCTCACTGAGAATATGTGGGCTTTTTCCCCCCCCCCCCCCCACATGATGTTTTCTTCTTCATACTCTTTCTCAGTTTTTCTTTCAGATTCCTTTTTTTGTGCATTCTTGTTTTTTGTCTGTTATAGTTGTCTGAAATGGCACGGACTTTGTCTACTCCTGTTTTAGAGGACTGAAATTACTGATGACGGCTTGTCAACTCCTGTCTTGAGGTGGCGAACCTGGCCACGGGCATCTCAGCCTCCAATGGAGGAGAGCTCTAGGAAAGTTCTGTAGACTTTCACGTAATTCCCTCATTTTTGGTGTGGTGTTTTAAACTTGTTTTCCTGTTTTCAGCTGAATCTGTTTACTCTCTTTCCTTGGTACCTGGGGTCACTGATTCCTGAGCCTTTCTGTAATTTCTTTCATGTGAGGTGGTTTGTTTCCGGATCCCCTCCACTTTGGGCAGAAGTTCAGCTTCTTTGGTCTGCTGAGTCAGTTGGACATTTTTTTTCTAGCTTCGAAATGTTGTCATCTCTTCCATTCTCTTAGTTGTGAGTGAATCCCCCCTCCCCCACCAAAAGCCCCATTCCTTTTACTGTTAATTTAGAGGAGCTTCAGGAAGAAGTATAGGGAGGATGTATTTGGTCTGCCATGTTAAACTGGAGGTCCAGTGAATGTTCAAGCCCTGCCGTTTTAGTCTACTTAGAAGATCACCAAGCAGCAGGTAGCAGAGGTGTATTTCAGAAGAACAGATCATGATGGGACAGTCATTGTCTTTTCCGGGTGGTAGGACAGACCACAGATAGAGAAATCAGTTAGTTTAATGTCCTTTTTATTTTGTCATGTATCTGTCTTAATTATAAAAGCTTGTTTTTATTTTTTTCCTTTTACTGTTAAGTGTATTAATAACTGGACTTAAGGTATCACCCAGGGGAGTTGGTCCCTGGTTTAGCATCCCAGGTGAATCAACAGGGGTACAACCTGCAGCCTGTTCTTTTCAGTGTTTTTTGTTAACACAATTGATAATAAACTTTTATCTATAATTTCCTTTTATTGCAAACTCTGATTTTGGCTTCAGGATTATATTGACTTCATAAAATAAGTTGGGTAGTGTTTCCTTTCTAGTCTCTGAAAGTTTATATGAAATAAGGGTTATCTAAGTAGATGTCTTTTTGGGAGGGAAGGGAAGACTTTGAACTACACTTTGCCTTTTTACTTATTTATTTTTAAAGTTTATTTATTTTAAGAGCACAAGTTGGGGAGGGGCAGAGAGAGAGAAGAGTTGGACTCTCAAATGACTGAGCTACCCAGGCACCCCAATAATATTTATTATAAAAGTTGACCACTTTCAATTTTATTTACATAAAGTTAATAGAATTTTCCTAGGGCTTAAAGACTGTAATGTGTTTGTAATTATGTTTTCCTTTACATTTTAGACATTATTTTTGCTTTTTCTCTTTTTTTAAAAAAGTATCAGTGTTGCTACAGAGGTCTTATTAATATTTTCATGGAACTGGCTTTTGGTTTTGCTCAAATGTTTTTGTTTTTTCTATTTCATTGTTTCTGCTCCTATCTCAGTTCTTTCTTTCTTCTTCCCTTCTTTGTTGCTTTTCTTTCTTGGGTTTTTACGGTTTTCCCCCTAACTTCTTGAGTTGAAGTCCGCTCATTTCATTTGTTTCTTTCTTGATTTGTGGTGACTGGACTTTATGTGTGTGCCGCCCCGGGCACCACCTTAGCCGTGATCATGGAGCTCATTTCCATGTAGTTTTCAGATTAGAAGTACAAAGTACTTGTGGATTTGGGTTTTTCTCCCCAAACTTTGTACTTGGAAAAATTTTAAACCTACTAAAAATCGGAAGGAGTGGTCAATTAATACCCTCATGTTATTCCCCTAGATTCACCGGTTGTTAATATTTGCCACATTTGTGGGCATCTGAGCGCCTGTCAGTTGAGCTTCGGACTCTGATTATGGCTTAGGTCTTGATCCCAGGTTCGTGGGATCGAGCCCAGTGTTCAGCCCTGTGCTGAACATGGAGCCTGCTTAAGATTCTCTCTCTTTCTCCCTCTGCCTCTTTCCACTGCTGGAGTGCTCCTTTCTCTAAACAAACAAAATCCACCCGGGGGTGGGGGGGGAACACTTAAAAAAACTAAAAAAATTTTCCCAATTTTTATGTTTTCCCCCCCCCCCCCCCGGGGGCCCTTTATCTCTTTTTACTGAAATCCTCTTAAAGTAAATTGCAGGCATCATGATACTTCACTTCTAGATATGCTAGCACTGGAACTAGGCAGGACCTTTTTCCTACATGACAGTACTGTTAGTACAGTTAAGAAATTTAATATCTATGCAATAATGCCACCTAACACACAGTACAGAGTCCCTATGGAGAAGTTTCCCAGTAATTAATTATCCTAAGAATGTCCTTCATAGCTGTATGTTTGTGAATAATATGATGGAGGAACCACTTGTTTTTTTTCAAAAAAATTATTCTTTTATTGTTGATTTATAATTTGGCTATCTTTAGGTCCAGAGGAACGTGACCTACATAATGTTGGTTTTTGGAATTTGTTGATGATTGCTTTGTGACTTTAGTACATGGCCATTTTTTTATATCAAGTTTGTTAATTTAGTTCAGATCTTCTATCATCTTACTCATTTTCCCCTTGATACTTCGTTTTATGAAAGAGCTGGTTTGGTTGATTTCTCCTTGAAATCCTCAGTTATGCTTCATATGTGTCAAAGTGATAATAAAAGATACATAGTGACACTTAAGAAAAAAGAATTTCCAAACAAAGGAATAGGAAAGGCCAGTTTCTAAAAGTGGAATGAACAGTTACAGAACACTCCCAAACTCACCATTTTCTCCAGAAAGTTAAAGTACCATTTGTATAAGAAAAAGTTTCTGTTGAGACCTGCTTCTCAGCTTTCTATGCCTTTGGAAGAGTATAAATAAAAACGAATAAAAGGGCACCTGGGTGGCTCAGTTGATTAAGCATCTGATTCTTGATTTCAGCCCAGGTCATGATCTCATGGTTCATGATTTCGAGCCCCACATCAGGCTCTGCACTCAGCACAGAGCCTCCTTGGAAATCTGTCTCTTTCTCTCTCTCTCTGCCCTTCCCCTATTGGCGCTCTCTCAAAATAGAATAAAAATAAACTTTAAAAAAAACGAGTATGCATTTTAAGCAAAATCTATCATTTGGACATTTTAAAGATTGATAAGGCCCCCTGAATAGGCTGCCTTTTTTTTTTTTTTTTTTTTTTTTTTAATTTACATCCAAGTTAATTAGCATTGCAACAATGATTTCAGGGGTAGATTCCTTAATGCCCCTTACCCATTTAGCCCATCCCCCCTCCCACAATCCCTCCAGTAACCCTCTGTTTGTTCTCCATATTTAAGAGTCTCTTATGTTTTGGCCCCCTCCCTCTTAAAGTCCTCATATGAGTGAAGTCATATTTGTCTTTCTCTGACTAATTTCGCTTACCATAATACCCTTTAGTTCCATCCACGTAGTTGCAAATGGCAAGATTTCATTCTTTTTGGTTAATAGACTGCATTTGAAAAGGAAGCAGACCCATTTTGCTCTGTAGAGAATTTCTAAGTCACTCCCATAGAGATGGGCCTTTACTAGCTGATATCTTGAGGCCTTGTTAATGCTGTTAGAGTTTGATACAGAGATCTTCTTTATAAGACATTTTCAGGTCATTAGTCATAACTTTGATTTGCTTGATCAATGATTTGTCCTGCTTCCTTAAATTTCTGAAAATATTAACCTTGGTTTTTATTCTGGATCTTGGGGTTACACATTGATGCCAAAACAGGTGACAACTGCATTAAGCACCTTTCACTTTATATCCCACTCCCCCTGCTTTTTCTTCTCCCTACATGGGGACCCCTGGGATTTCTGGATACAGACCAAGTGAGGTGTGTATGTGAGGGAATCTGCCAGCTGTGTGTGCAGCGTGAGTTTGCTGTGTTGCTGATTCCCACCTGTGACTAGGAACCTTCCTAAAGTGGGTAGTCATCCTAAATGACAGTCACTGGGGATGGGGAACCTGGTCATGATGCACCTGAGCTATACCCGCAGTCCAAGGACCTGTGGGTATATAGCAAAAGTGAGGCCCACGTGGCCATTCCTTTCTGGGCGGTTGTTCTAAACCCAAGGAGATTTGGAGTCTGTTAATCAAATTGACTTTTTTTTTTTTTCCATTGTCCTCCTCAGACCTTCGCAGGTTAATGAAAAGTCCTAGGAAATTTCCACCTTTAGCCCTTTGGGTAGTCCTCAGATAGCCCTGATTTCTAAGAAAATGCCTGTGTTTGAAGCTTTGGAACCAATGTAGGATTGGTGAATAGTCTTCCTCAGCATCTTTGTAATCTTCTGAGAAGCATAGGCCTGCTTTGTTTTTGATAAGTCACTTATTTTATAAAAATATAAGCAAAGCTAACTTCCTGCTGACAATTTGCCATTGGACACAGCTGGGTAAGAAGAATGGAGGAAAAGTGTGGCTCAGGTGAACTTTCCCTTTATAACTTGTCATAGACTCTTCGGACTTGTATTTTCTGGGAAACCATTTTAATTTTGTTCCACCGGTGAACATCATCGAAGACAAATGTTCATCACTGCCTTCTGGGTACAAGCTGAGAACCACCATTCATGGGGTGGGGTGTATACAGGGTATGCCATTCCACTGTTCGGTTATCTTAGCACTTAGACTGTGGACCAGGTTGTACAGTGGCTTCTTGCATATTTGCAGGAGGGAGAGCAAAGAAGTTGAGTCACCAAGTTGGTGACTACCACCGGCCCCAGAACCCGTTTTTCCCTACCAATGTATGCACCTGATATGTGAGGGCGCTGGCATGAGACTTGAGGGGTGGGCAGAGGGGAGCAGCCTCTTGGTGCTCACAGGCAGGTTAGAGAACCTTAGGTCACTGCTAGTATCTGAGTAGGGAGCATCAACTCCGGGGACGCTGCTGCTGTCACTGTCCTCCGAACACCCCAGCGGACATTAAGTAGCACGGGTTCAGAGAAGGAAGGGACCACTGTTAGCTTTGTAGAGAGTAGATGGGATGGGCTTACTTACAGGCCAAGGGAGAGGGGCGGGATGTTAGAGATTTGGGAGGAGGTGGGGACACTGGAGAAGGAAGAATGGAGGAAGCAACCAGGTTTATTTGGTCTGAAATGGAGACAGAGCTGTGAAAGTTGGTCAGAGCCAGACTGTGGACCCTACTGAGTCCTAAATTTTAGGCCCAGGTGGTAAAATGTAACATGTAATTGGGTCTCCTCCTATCCTAAGCTCCTGAGAAATGAGAGTAAATGTCGGCCTGTCATTCAGGACTCTGTAATGTATTAGGCCTAATACATTCATTCATCTAGTGTTTTTTGTATTACATAAAATTGATATTGGTTGGAGTAGCTAGAAGTACTATGTTGGCGGTCCAAGGACATTTATTATTATTATGCCTTATACCATTTGCACAGATGCTTGGTATAGATACCACGTGATACAAGAGGAATGCCTTTCACAGACAAAAATCCAAATGATAAATAGCCCGTATTTGTTTTCTGGGAATAAAATATTCCAGCCCCCTCTGATGGTTAGAAAATGCTCGCTTCACTGTCACAGTCTATTTATTGACATGAGGTTCAATTTGGTGCGTCTCTGGGAGGGATCTCCCAGAGGAGAGCTGGGAGAGCTCTTCCCAAGGAGAAGCTGATTTGACACCCAAAGAGATAGTATCTTTAGCCTGTGTCCATCCATACTGGTGCTGGGATGCTGTCTGCAAAGTCTTCCCTGCCGTGTGGAGCTGGGGACAACAGAACGCTTGGGTGTTTAGCTCCTGAGCGGAAGTGGTGGCGTGTTGGTGCCACATGCCCGGATGCTTTCCTTCCCACCCCAGGTTTGTTTCCAGTAGCGGAGCAGCTCCCAGCGCCGCGGGTGTCCTGGTCCGTGTGTCCTCATTCCCTGTGCTGCGCTGAGCCAGCTGCTCCCGGAGACTGATGAAGTCAGATATTCTTGCCAAGCTGGGGGGGAGAATTACTCTCACTTATTAACAGGGAAAAACAAGTCCTGGTGTTCTTAGATGTTGAATTTGATTCTTGGCAGATTGTTTTTCTTAATCTTTTTGAACAGGGGTTATATTTACGTGGATCTAAAATTATAAAATGGTATGTGATTAAAAGTCTTATTATTTCCCTGAGCCCCAGCAGTCCATCCCCCACATGCATACATGTGAAACCATGTTTTATTAAGGTCTTCATATCATTCGTATGAATGCAAACAAATAAGGATGTGTAGTTTGGCTTTCCCCTCTTCCACAGACACATTATATAGGCTGGTCACTGCTCGTTAGAGAGTTTCCCTCCATTGCCTGAGTCTTCCAATAAAGAAACAAAATAAGTTTAATAAAGGTGCACTAACTAGTTTTATAGACAGTGCTGCTTTGGACTGATGCGGAAAGAGCTCTGCTTGGAATTGATTACCAAAAATAATAGTATAGTTTCTGATGAGGTTCTGTGATGACTCTGATGAACCTGGATGTATAAATGCTACTCTGTCTCCTAGAAATTGAAATTTTGAAAAAACTCAGAGTGGGTGTTCCTTTGGATTATTGGTAATGAGAACTCTTTCATGTGTCCTTTTTGCCTGGAGTCATTTTCACTTCCTGTCACTCTTCTTTTTTTTCCTCCAGCATCTCACTCCCCTGCTCCTCTCCTAAGCCTCTTACCATCTCCAAGGGCTATTGCAGTCACTTTCCTCCTGTTTCTGTGAGCAGATACACTCATGAGATGTGGCCACTTGCCACATGGGCTGATGAAATTCTTCAAGTCCTGCTCTCCAACTTAGTTCTCTACAGCACACTGTACTGCTATGCTATGCTTGTAGTAAGAATATGAGGACAGTTGGACAACTTGGACTTTGTTTCTGTAATAATGTAATTGTGGGTGTTGAAATCCTGGAGCATTAAACAAGTTTTTAAAAGATCCATGTTGGCTTGAATGTTTCCCTTGGAATTCCTTTTTTTTTCTTCCCCTTAACAAGAGACTGAAGTATTAGACCCTCATCTTTGGTCTTTGTCCCCATTTGTTCCAGATCAGATGGTAAAAATTCCTGGGATTCTTTAGGGACTTAAGTACTAAGTTTATAGAGAATGGTGACCAATGTTTGGGATGACAAGATATGATGAGACTAAATTAACTTTCTGTTTTCTGAAATCTGTTTCAGCAACTATACCAGATCCTGACAGACTTTGATATCCGGTTTTATATGTATGAGCTGCTTAAGGTAAGTGACACTCATAATAAGCAGTGGATTTTTTCAGGTGTATTCGTTAAAAGAGAAGTTTTTGGGGGGACAAAGAGATCTCAGACTCTTTCTTGATACTTAGAGAATTTAGTGAAGTGGGAGTTTACTTGTTGTTGTTTTTTAACTTACACTGAGATCTCTGTTGCAGGATCTTTACATAGAAACTTTCTCAGTGGAACTGAGAAAGATGGCCAAGTCAAGAGATACTAGGGACATTATACCAGAAATCAGAACCTCCTTCATAGCTTTTATTGGCCCTTGGGTTTTCTTTTTGCTGCTTAATTAATACTATTGGTTTTCACTGTATAACAAATCACCCCAAACTTAATGATTTTTTTAAAAAAATCTGTGGGTTAGCTGGATGAGTCTTTTGGTCTGGGTCATCTTGACTAGAGCACATTGGTCCAGGATGGCCTCGTTCACATATCTGGGATGGCAGCTGGAATACCTCAAGGCTTGTCCTCCAGGGGTTTAGTCTAGGCTGCTTCTTCCCATAGTGGTCTCTGGCTTCTTAATAGCATGAGAGGGCAAAGTTTGATGTGTAAGCACTTCTCAGGCTTCTGCTTGTATAAATGTCTACTAAATGCCCTGTTGGCCAAAGCAAGTCATGGGCCAGGCCCGGATTCAAAGGGTGGAGAGGTAGACTATTTGATGGGAAGAGCATTGAAGTCACAGTGTGGAGGGAATGCGTACTGGGATGGTAGGCATTTTCGGCCTTCTTTATCTTGCCATCTCTCATAATCCCCTTCCCAACCTACTCTTTGGCCCTGACTAACCTTGACGCGCAAGAAGAGGTGATGGATGGTCCGTCTTTCTAGGAGACTTAGTAATCCCAAGATGGAAATTCTGAAACACTAATGGTTGATGGAGGAATGTTTTTTTGGTTTGCTTGTTTGTTTTAGTTTTTTTAGTCTAGGTAAACACTTAGGTAAAGAATTCTAAAAAGCTTTGTAAAATGGGATAGACGAATGGTTCCTAAGTTGTTTGGGGTCATGGATCACTAGGAAAACATATAAAACCTCTCCAAAATGCCTGTATACATATACAGTATTACCTAAAGTCTTATGGGGGTTGTGGGTCTCAATTCAAGACCTCTGAAAGAGTAGAGATGACTGAGTTACTGGCATTATTGAAGAAAATTGCCAAGATTGAGTTTTGATGGGATTGCGAACAGTTGCTTGAACAAAATCCCAAATTAAGGCGAGGCTTTAGGAAGTGGGACTTTGAAGAACTGGCTGTGGGAAGTGAATGTGTTTTCTTATAAGCACTTGCACAAACCACTTGTCATTGGTACCAAGGTGGTGGATTTAGGTGGATCACTCTTACAACTGATGGGTCTTTCTTTTATCAGTAAGATCAGAAACATGTGAGGGTAGAGCTGGGTTTATCACACCTTTCTCCATGTCCTCTCCAGACCAGAACGAAGGCCTTGGTGAGAAGAGGTTTGCAGTGTTGTGGTCTTGTGAGCTCTCAGGCTTAGCTCCTTTCCTGGAGGCCCTTTCTAGAGAACCCCATGCATTCACCCTATGAGAGCTATAATCCAAATCTGTCACTTGGTTATTTTTTTTAAGTAAGGGGTTAAGATTTTTGTGGTTTTCACTTAGTGCACACCAAAGGTGAAGATTTATAACCCAGCACAGTTGTCCTTAGATCGGGTGAAGACATCCCAGTGGCACAGGTCTTCGCAGGCTGGTCATTCAGGTGGTTCTCTGTGTCTGATGTCCCTAGCAGCTAGGCAGTAAGGGCTTGCTTTCTGTTAATGTGGCACACAACCCCAGATGAAGCTTGAAAAATGTCTTTCATGCTTAATGGTCAGATAATATCAGATTCTAAACTGAAATAACTTCCCCAAGGAATCTAAAAGCATGTCAGTAACTCCACAGGGAGTCTGACCAGTGAAGTTGGCAAAAGAATTAATTCTCTTACTGTACTTGTTCAACTTTTGCTTTCCTCAGATGTTTCTCACATCCCAGGTATTATGATCCTAATTAGTTCATTCCTTTGGGTGAAGACCAGGCAAAATAACAGAATCAACACTTGCTAAATTTTCTCTTCGGGTAAAAAAAAAAAATGGGGATAGGGTAGGGGAAATATGTAGCTTCTCCCAAAAATGTAGACGAAACTGAGGCTGAGGGCTATTGAGTCGTTGCTGGGTACACTGTCTGGTCTCCTGATTCGGATCCAGGGAGGTCTGTCCTCAGGAGCCCTGGTTTCAGAAAACATTGCCACAAAGCCACTGTGGAATCTTGCTACAACTGTTTTTGTGAAACAAAACAAAGAAAAAAATTAAATTGAAGTAGAAGCTCCATAAATGAACAATTCTTAAGTGTGCAGGTTTTTGGATTTCACATAAGTAAAACCTTCACCCAGATATATGTGGTACTATGCTGTCCATTATAGTAGCTGTTGCCCACAGGTAGCTACTTAAATTTTAATTTCAATTTAAAGTTCCTTTGCTTAATCACAGTAGCCACAGTTGGTTTATTCAGTAGCCTCATGTGGCTAGTAGCTGCCATATTGGACAGTGCAGATATTTAGAATATTTCTGTCACTGCAGAAAGTTCTGTTGGACAGGGCTGGTCAAGAATATTATGAGTACACCAAAAGGTCTCATGTGTCCCTTCTCTTCAGGATCCCCTCCTCTACCACCAAGTTTAGTTTTGCCTGTTTTATTTTTTTTTTATTTTTTATTATTTTTTTTAATTTTTGGGACAGACAGAGACAGAGCATGAACAGGGGAGGGGCAGAGAGAGACGGAGACACAGAATCGGAAGCAGGCTCTAGGCTCCGAGCCATCAGCCCAGAGCCTGACGCGGGGCTCGAACTCAACGGACCGCGAGATCGTGACCTGGCTGAAGTCGGACGCTTAACCGACTGTGCCACCCAGGCGCCCCTAGTTTTGCCTGTTTTAAACCTACATATAAGAAACATCATACCCTGTGTCTGGGGAAAGCAAGATTTGCTTGTTCCCAGAATACCAATCCTAGGGATCATTTTCGGACTTACGCATTCTCTCCTATGTAAAAATGCCTAGTCCAGTGGTTCTCAACCAAGTCAATTTGGCGATATGTGGAACCACTTTTGGTTGTCACAGTTTGGAGGAGTGCTACTGGCATCTGGTCGGAAGAGGCCAGGGAGCCTCGTAAACATCCTGCCCTGCACAGGACTGCTCCCCACAACCGGGAATTCCCCGGTCCAACACGTCAGTGGTGCTGAGGTTGAGAAACCCTAATTTTGTCCCGAGGAAAACTCTACCAAGAGCACTCAGTGCCGAGCACATAGTAGGTACCACAAGATGATGGATGGCCGCAAGTATTGTTACCCAGGGAATAACATTTGAGTGGGCTGCAGTGCTTTTTGAGACCAGCCAAAGTGCCCAATTTGAAATTTATGAAAATAGATACTATGTTAGAAAAGGAGATTTAGAGCAAATTTTTGCATTCTTGAACACCAAAGACAAACTGCCTGAAGAAAAAATGGGCAAAAGATTTGAATCAACATTTGTCCGAAGAAAATAGAGGATGACCAGTAACACCTGAAATGTTCAACTTTGATGACTCATTAAGAAAATACAATTCAAATCCACAATGAGATTCCACTTCAAACCTGTCAGAATGGCCGTAATTACAAAGATGAACCAATGACCAGCATTGGCGAGGATGTGGAGAAAGAAGCCTTCATACGTTATTGATGGGAATGTAGAATAGAGCAGGCATTTTGGAAGACATTTAGGACATTCTTGAAAAGTCTGATGTAAACTAACATACAGCACAGCACATCCACCCCTAGGAATCTGCATAAAAGAAATGAAAGCCTATGCCCTCTCAAAGACCTATGCATGAATGTTCATAATAGCTAACAACTGGAAATAGCTCTGATGTCCATCGACTAGTGCGTCCGCACAGTGGAGTACTACTCAGCAAGAAGAAAGTAATGGATGAATCTCAGCAACCTGCTGAGCGAAAGAAGATAAAGTGCTGTATATTGTATTTTTCACTTAATGAACGTCCAGAAAAGACAAATCCATAGTAACAGCAGGTTTGTGGTTAAGGCTGAGGTAGGGGGCAAATGGGAAATGAGATTGATCACAGGCAAGCTAAAGGGAAATTCTTGGGAAGATGGTAAAGACTGGATTATGGTGATAGTTGTACAACTCTATAAATGTGCTAAAAAAAAAAAAAAAAGTATTGTACAGTTAAAAATCTTACCTGCATATCATTCATCTTTTAGGAAGCAATATCCTCCCTTAGAGTAGAAATATAACGTAGTAATATCCTTCCTTAGAGTAAAAATGTAATTTTTTAAAAAAAATTTTTAAATGCTTATTATTTATTTTTGAGAGAGAGAATGAGACAGAGCATGAGTGGGGGAGAGCAGACAGAATCCAAAGCAGGCTCCAGGCTCCGAGCAGTCAGCACAGAGCCCAATGCAGGGCTCGAACTCATGAACTATGAGATCATCATCTGAGTCGAAGTCGGACACTTAGCCGACTGAGCCACCCAGGCGCCCCCAGAATATAATTCTTAAAGGCCAACTGGCTCAGGGATTGTTTTTAAATTATTTTTTTAATGTTTATTTTTGCGAGAGAGAGAGAGAGAGAGAGAGAGAGAGCGCTAGCGAACAAGTGGGGGAGGGGCAGAGAGAGAAGGAGACACAATTTGAAACAGGCTCCAGGCTCTGAGCTGTTAGCACAGAGCCCGACACGGGGCTTAAACCCACAAACCTTAAGATCATGACCTGAGCAGAAGTCAACGCTTAACCGACTGAGCCACCCAGGCACCCCTCGGGGATTATTTTTGAAGGAAAATACTAATACTAGAATACTTGTTAATCTCAAAAATCCACATGGGGCACTTGTCTAAAACATAAGCCATGTTGAACAATACGTTTAGATACCATTCTTCGTGTCCACAGGGACTCTTGGCGTGGCATTTGAACCCCCTATGAGAAGTGACTCTAGTGGGTTTCCCAGATCTGTTTTTAAACCCATTGAATTAGACTAACAGGCTGATGTATGATTTCTGAGTCTAGGTGGCTGGTAAAGTGTTACCAACTACAAGTAGGAGGAGTGTCCAAAGTGTCTCTGTCTCCTTTTTAACATAGCCCCCTTTCCACCAGCTGCCAGCATAGTGGGCAGAGAGCAAGGGATATCTTCTGATATCCCTATTCTCATCTGTTACAGACAGTAAGCTGCACTTTAGGAGATACTCAAGTCAAGCTATCACAAATAAGAATATGCTTGCATTGGGAATTGGTAGACGGTTTGCTTATTTTTCTCTGTGCTTTCTTATCTAACAGGCTCTGGATTACTGCCACAGCAAGGGAATCATGCACAGGGATGTGAAACCTCACAATGTCATGATAGATCATCAACAGAAAAAGGTACCGTTGCAGCCAGGCAGCAACAAGTCTTTCCTCGGAAGGCTTACGGCCGACCAGAATGCTGGCCAGTACTGAGGTGGTACTGGAGACCCATGCTGTTTTCTTTGGCGGGCTTCTGTTACTTCTTAGTCTCCAGGGTTGCTTTCTACTTTGCATAAGTATAGTACACAAGGAAAGTAGACAGCTGAACCTAACCTAACCTGTTTATTTTGGTCATGGTTTTCTGGAGGACCCTGCAAAGAAACTACAGCTGATGGTTTCTACTTCATTTAATGACCCTCAGACCAATCTGCCTGGCCTCAAAAGTACACTTGGGTCCCTCCTTATTTTGATATTCAGTTCTGGTTGTCCCTGATAGATGAGTAAATGAATCAGTTACTTAGATTAATGAGAAGCTGGAGCAGCGCTTTGATCCTGGACTGGGGTTGTATGTCCCCAACCCTTTCCGTTGTGGCTAGAACTTATAATGGAAGCTATTAATGATGGGGGAATGTGTTATACATGGAAGTGCTATGGAGACAGAAAGAAAAGCTTAAGTTTTATTGATCTAAAGAGAATGAGAAGCCCAGGATAATTTAAATTTTCAAAAAGAAAAAGCAAATAGGATTTTGAGTGCTCTGCTCTAGAAATGACCTCTTCCATAGTTGCTGAAAGTGTAATTTTTGCCAGTGCGCTTGCTGACATTTTTTGTGTGGCCCATGTAATTGTTAGCCAGTGTGATGGGACCTGGTTCCAAGGCACAGGAGTCTAGAACTACATGCTTTACATGTTTGATTTCTGTCATGTTTGTAGCTGCGACTGATAGACTGGGGCCTGGCAGAGTTCTACCACCCTGCTCAGGAGTACAATGTCCGTGTAGCCTCGAGGTACTTCAAGGGCCCGGAGCTCCTCGTGGACTATCAGGTAAAACTGTTAGCCAAGCACCTGTGCATTCAGGGTGTATTGCCTTAGTGCTTCTCCCCGTTTGCTGTTTATTTAGCAGTTTGGATATATTGAAAACCCCACCCAAAGTGATAATCTCAAATTTTTCTCAATGACTTTTTTTTTTTTTTGCTTTGAATTGTAAAATATGTGCAAAGGTCACCCTGAAGACTAGAAATTCAGATCTGAAAAATGCGTTTGTAACACCCTTCCCTGACAGGCCAACCTTATTTTCCTCAGATGTATGATTACAGCTTGGACATGTGGAGTTTGGGCTGTATGTTAGCAAGCATGATCTTTCGAAAGGAGCCCTTCTTCCATGGACAGGACAACTACGACCAGGTGAGCAAACACTAACTAGCCCCTCCCTGTGTAGGGGCAGAAGCCGAGAAAATGGAGTACTTTGACAGAGGTGATACCCTTGAGCCACTAAATATCGTTGAGTGTCTGCACATAAGTTTTCCTTCAGGGTAAAGAATTTCATGAAATTTTGTCTGTGGTTACCAGGTCCCCAAACATAACAGATAAAGCGATATTATGCCCAACTTCCAGAGTGAGTCTGTGAAGTCACGCACTCCTTGTCTAAATAAAACTAGATTCTAGTCCTTAGGTGATGCCTCTTGTAATCGTCAGCTTCTAGATTATTGTCATAAGTTGTTACCATTTTAAAGGCAGTTTGGAAATTTGCTTTCTGTGAACATCGTGTCCTTGTGTCTGCCGCTGTCAGCCCCCGGCTCCAGTCTGTATCTGGTGTCTGGAGGTAGAGTGATGTGGAAGTCCCCCTAATTCCTTGGGATAGCACCTCACAGGCTTGCAGTGAGCCCTGTGCTCAGTGATTTGGTCAGTTTGTTTTGTGTTTCAGCTTGTTCGCATTGCCAAGGTTCTGGGTACAGATGAGCTGTATGGCTATCTGAAGAAGTATCACATAGACCTAGATCCGCACTTCAACGATATCCTGGGACAGTAAGTAAGAGAGAGGGAGAGAGAAAGAGGGTTTTACCCCATTTCAAAAGTGGGAGTGTTGGCTGAAATCGCTGGCTAATCCTAGCAGAATTGAAATACACTTCTTTATTCCCGTGTGTATTTTTTTTAACTTGTTTTTTGAGAGTATTTGGGCAGTGTTTACATGTGTCTTTGGATTATTGTACTTCTCCAAGAGATAGTCTGTCAATCAGCAAAAAATTGAAGACAAAATCCTGTTACAGAAACCAGCTTTCTGGTACAGCATGTGCTTATTTTAGAAAGCTGTGATTCTTCTAGGAGTAAGACTGTTACAGTTTTTCTTGTTCGGTGTAATGGATTTTCCACAAGATAGCAAATTTGAAAGCGTATTTTCAGGTACAGTGCAGTAGTGTTGAAAAGTAAATGTGTTGACAATATTCAAACAGTGGTTTATGGAACCTCTATGTTTCTGAGGCTAGCTCTCTAAATATTTCTGCTGAACAACAAAAATAACTCCCATCACCTCTGTGCCTCACCAAAATTGACTAAAAGCCTGAGGCATAAAAAGTGATCTAGAAAGGTGCCACAAACTAAATCAGATGTAGAAGTTAGAGCTAATTTTATTTATCAGTCATAGAGCACAGTTTTTATTTTAGGATGCTGCGAGTGTATCTGTGCGGGGGTGGGACAGGTACCAGCGAGAATGAGGTTTCACAAGCTTGGAATCAGTGCATTATTCTAAGATTTTGTTGGCTTTAGCCCTAATGCGTCAGGATCCTTGTTGAATTTAATCTCAGAATACTATTGCTTCCCTTTTTTCTCAGACATTCACGGAAACGCTGGGAAAACTTTATCCATAGTGAGAACAGACATCTCGTCAGCCCCGAGGCCCTAGATCTTCTGGACAAACTTCTGCGATATGACCATCAGCAGAGACTGACTGCCAAAGAGGCCATGGAGCACCCGTACTTCTGTGAGTCTCCAGGGACTGTTTTCAGGGGCATAACTTACTAAAGGAAAAATACTTCTCTTCATCTTTGAGATCAGTCAAGAGAATTGTAGGTATTTGTATTGAATCGTCCTTAGAATTTGGCCTCATTAGTTCTAGACCGTTGAGACAACTTTGCAGTTGCTCTGCAGAGGGGTTTGCTTGTTCACTGCCTTAGCTCCCTCGAGTCCGGGAGGGACTATTCCCTGTGGCCCTGAGCTTATAGATCACAAGTATCTAAAATTTGTTTTCAAGTGTATATATTTGTATGGAAACCTAACCAAAGGTATTCTTCCCTTCAAAAACCAAATAGTTAGTTAAAAGTGGTAAGGTGACTGTAGTGTATCTTCAAAGAAGGAAATGAGTTAAATAAACAAAAGGAATTTGAGGAAAGGAAAGCAGGTATGGAAGGACTGCACTAAAATCTCACCTGCGTTAAAGAATTTTTAGGTCTCACTTCAAAGTGTGTGTATGTATTCAATGCATGTGGTTGCTTACTGTCTGCATGCATACAGGCCTCCCCACCCCCCACCGATAAAGATGTCTCCAACAAACTTTCCCCTTAATTGTTGGCGATGTGAGATGATTTAGTCCAGGCACAGGGGAGACTGGGGATGAAGGTTACAGGACCCGTCTCTGTTCACTCTCTGAATTGAGAAGAAAACCTTCAGCCTGTCTGTTGCTTGGCCAGTATGCTGTCTTCCCTCCTCCCGTCCTCCCCCTACGATTAAACAAATCTTACCTGAAGAAAATAAATCTTGAACCTCTTGGCCTGTAAGCATTAGTAGACAGCAAATTGGAAAGGTTTTACCCTTTGGTCTTCTAGACCTCAGACAAGTGCAACTCAGATGTCCTCTTTCCAATTTCTGGCACAGGAAGCCGTTTTTACCCTTTGAGTTAAATTGAACTAAGAATTCCAGTGTTTTATAGTAAGTAATTCGTGATTTATTTGCTTTTCTGAATACACATCTTTTGTAAGAAAAAATGTTTCAAATGACTGTTGCTTAAAATTGATAGGCCTTCTAATGGCTCTTTTCATTCTCCCTTTGCTCCAAAGTACTCATTAGCACACATGATTTGAAGAAATTGGGGGTTGGATATGACAGTATTCAAGGAAAAGAACACATAAGAAAATAAGTAGTAATTTTGAACAGTGGGAAGTTAGTGAGTCTGGGCCTCTGTTTTCCATGGGCCTCAGAGATTGAACTTGCCTTCTGAGGGAAGTGTTAGGAGTTGACTCTAAGAGCAAATTCCCCTGATCATTTTTCAATGTCTGATTTTTCTATAACCTTAGATCTGTAATTTGTTTTTATTTTTTAATTTTTAAAAAAGTTTATTAGTGCGGGGAGAGGGAGAGAGAGAATCCTAAGCAGGCTCAACACTGTCAGTGCAGAGCCCAAAATGGGGCTCAGACTCACGAAACTGAGCTCATGACCTGAGCCGAAACCAAGAGTCAGACGCTTAACCATCTGAGCCACCCAGGCGCCCCTAGTTCTGTGATTTCCGTTGCCCTTCTGACTCTGTCTTCCCTGTCAGTCTGTCTATGTCACCGTGGAAGGGGTTTTGTCATGATGGTGTCTCCCACACCTACCAGCCCTGATTCAGCTGACTTCTGTCCTGTTTCCTTGCAGACCCTGTGGTGAAGGAGCAGTCCCAACCTTGTGCAGACAACGCTGTGCTTTCCAGTGGCCTCACGGCAGCCCGGTGAAGTCTGGAAGGCGACGGGTAATGCGGCATTGATGCTTGCCAATAAAATCAACCAACCAAACACAAATCTTGAAGGAAACTACAATGTGATAAAAAGAAGTTCTAGTCATTCCTTCTAAATGCAAAGAAGAGTAAAGACCTAAATGTCAAAAAGAAAGAAAGAAATGCCCCAGTACTAGTTACTACAGGGAGCCGCCATTCTGGCAGTGTGACGATGCACATAGTTCAGGATCTGAGGGAACACTCCCTTTGGAATGCATGGGAGATGAGAGACTCGGAGTTGTTGTGCGTTTGCGTTTATTTAACAGGAGACCGCTGTTGAATTAACCTGTTCAGTCAACAAGCTCTGAATATCTGACTTCCTATCTATTCCACTGTGGTCTGGGTTTCCTTTGGTGAGATTCAGGCTCAAGTTTTAGCAAAATGTCAGCAGTCTATACTGACACACCAGCCTCATTTACGAAAAGGAGATATTAAAACAGTGACAGTATTTTTTTTTTAAGCTCTTTTACAAATTCATGTTTTATGTATTTTTTTATGACATGAGCTCTCTAGGAAATGTACCTCATCCCTGCAGTTTTCTTCTAAGTGTATTCATTTGGGAGCAAACTGCAGTCACTCTCACAAGGGTCCCCTTGGCTGTCAGAAGGCATCACTTTAAACCTTGTGACGCTGTGTCCAGGGCCGTCTGTCTCCTCAAAAGTTCGATGCAAAGTGCATAACTTGGAGCTCACTGTAACCTTTGTTGATTTGCCTAACCATAAAACCTTGTTGCTGTTTTTTCTGTGTAGCCTTTTTTTTCCTTTTGCAGCCTTGTAAGGAAAGCCTCACCATTTCCCAGCACATACATCCGTGTGTGTGTGTGTGTGTGTGTTGTGTGTGTGTGCCCGCGCGCGCGTGTGCCTGTTTTAACACACCTCTCTGAAAGAGACTTTTTGGTCACAACCATAGTGAAAGCTGGAAAGTCAGTCTTCAGGCAGGCTGTGGAGGGAGAGAAACATCCTATTAGAATGTATTTAGGAAAGACCTGTTGGGTCAGAAAAATGTATTCTCCCCAACCCCCCTTTTTGCCTCGTTTTATCCTCATGAGAAGCAGTTTCCCTCTGTAATCAGGGTAACCTGCGTTTTTAAGCTCTGAGAGGTACCACATGAATGTGATGGCAAAGCTGAGTCTTTCTCACTTGCAGGGACAGGTTGTGTGCAGGGCCAGCCCACTCCCAGGGATGAGCAGAGCATCATACAAGGGGCTTGGTGAGGATTTGGAGCACATAGAGCAAGTATCAACGCTTGGGACCCATGGCACTAGCCTTCATGTTAGCAAAGGAAGCTAGATTCTGCTTTAAAAAGTAAAAAATGTAGAGCTGATGTCATTTTGGGGACTTGTCACCAGTATGCTTTGCAGGCAGTCCCCCCTCACCCCAGCTGCAGAGCCATGCCACAGCTGTGGGAACTTGACAGCTAGGCCAGAGCTGGAGGTGTCTACTTACATCATACTTTAGGATTTCTTTGTTAACTATTTAATAATGCCATACATTTTTATAAGGTTAGATTGATTGTTTGAAAACCTCTGTTTACATTCCATATTCCAATAAAATCATATTGGTATTGGTAGCAGGTCCTATTTCTACATGTAGATTCTGTTTTTGTTGTTTGGTCGGTGGGGATTTGAAATGCAAATAAAACTCTTACTAGAGTTGAGCTCACGGATTACAACTTAAAAGTAAGACCCCAAAGCCAGGAAATGCATTCAGTTAAGGTTTTCATGCCGATACTACCTGTCTGTGTTGCACATTCTGTATATTGACAAGTCCATTTGTTCAGCCTGAAAAGCCAAGACATGAGCTCTCAGCTGGACCTGTACTGGCACATCAGGCAGCAGAAGCCTTCTGATGTGCCCCTCTAGGCAGCACTGTTGGTGATTATCAGGGAGATGTGCCACTGTGTCTTTTTTGCCCCCCTACTTCTCCCCTTTTCGTCACCTATTCTCTCCCCTTCCACTTTTTTTGTTTTTAGTTGTCTGGACCAGGCAGGGAGAGCATACTGGAGAGTCTTGGTGAAGTAGCAACTCCATTTTTTCTGTTGGGTTCCCCAGAGGCATTGAAAGCATCTGGAGGAGTACAGTCAGGTGATGTGCTCCGGCCTCTCTCCGTTGATGATTTAGTAGATGCAAACACAATAACTTGCCTGTCTTGTGGCTCTGACACAGGAATCGTTCTTCCTTTTCATGTATGCTTTACTTTTCCACCACCTATGGTCTTCACTTCTCTTCATGCCTTAGCATCGCTGAGTTTCAAAAGCCTGCCCCTTTCTGAGTCTGGTCTTGACACTTAGCTGGCTGGCTGGCTGACTGTAGGTGGTTCTTTCCCAAACTAAAGTGAGTCCAGTCCAGACCTTTTCTCTTCTTTCCCATCTCCGTAGCCATTCTGTGTCCCGATGTACCTAGCTCCTTCAAGATTTCAGAATGCTTACCTGGGTTAGGAGATGGTCATGGAGAGTTCAGGGTGTGGGGGGCAGGGAAGGGGAGAGAGGGGGCGGGGAGAGAGAGAGAGTGTGTGTGTGTGAGTCTGTTCTTCTATTTAGACTAAGCCAAGGTAGATTTGCCCACCCACTATCCTTTTTGATCAGCATGTTATTTCTTAAATTCATCTCAGTAATTTTTATTAGGCATTTTTTTTTGCTTTGTTACCTTATAACAGGTTAAAAGTGCCTATGATAAGGACTTAGTTATTTCCTAAAGAAAAGCAAAAAATGTGGGGAACAGGGTAGTGTTACACTATCATCTCAGGTACTGTCTGTGTTCGACAACATAGGCCTGGTATGGTGAGAACAGAAAGTTCCTATGCCAAATACAGATTGGTCTGATTGACCGCAAGTGAGCATAAGCGCGAGGCTTTGCTTCAGCTGACGAGTCCCATGGCGAGAGCAGAACTGATGGAACGCCAAGTGATATTTTCATCTGCAGTTTGCTTGCTGTTCACTCTCCCCTGGATCATATCAGCTGCCTGCTGTTGTCCTGTCCCTGTGGGAGGTGACTGGGTGGGAGAAGCCAAGTGGACAGTGCAGACAAGCATTCTTGGGTCTTCTCACCAATTAGAGCAGTGCCAGTGGTGGCTCTTGGAGGCGCCTAAACACCGGCTGCTGCACCAGGCCTGACAGACGTTCTCTAGGGCATCACTGCTCACAGGGCTCAAAGCTAGTGTGTTCCCTTGCAGAGAAGGAAGGGACTCAGACTGCTTGGATGGAGGAGACAGAAGAGCTTGTAATCCTGAGGGGCTCAGCAAGGAGGTGGTTAAAGGAAAGGGAACCAGTAAGAAAAACAGTCAAGGGATAGGTCTTGAGGAGGGAACATGACTTCTTCAGAGAGTCAGGGGTACCACCTTCATGACGTGGAATGCGCCCTGAGATGGGCACTGCCCCCTGGAGTGGTTCCAGCGCCGCTGAAAGGTGGCGCCCTCAGACAGCTGCTGAGTCCCCGAGAGAGCTGGCGGCCGTGGTCTCGGTCCGCATCTACTCAGGGAAATGACTTAGGTTCTCCCAGGTGCTGCGTTGAGGATGGAAGCAAAACTATTTGGGAACACAAGCAGCAATTGGAAGAATTTTTATATATGCATTGAAGTGGTTCTAAGCCCACTTAGCAGTTTCCCTTAATGCCAGTTCAGACTGAGTGATTTGTTTAGAAACCTGTGTTCCTGCATGGGCACTCGCAGGAAAAAGCAAACTTCCCTCCTGCAGATAATAGGGGTAAGCTGGAGTTAAGTTCATTGAAATAGAAACCCTTCTAAAAGCAAAAGCAGGGTGCACGGGAGCACACGAGCCAGAGGTTTTCAGTGAGCTTAATAAGTCTAAGGTGGCATAACATCCTGCTTCTAAAAATTAACCCCAGGGTGGGAATGGGGGAGGGGAGGTGGCAGTGAAACATCTGGCAGAGAAAACCAGTAATAAACACTTTTGAGCTCTATGGATGTGTTCATGGAAACGACGACAAGCAGGTGTTGTGGAGGCTGGGGAAAGTGATGTGATGGGTTATACAGCTGATGCCATGAGTACTTTTGTGTAGAGACTCAACAATGTGCTACAAATGTGATACTTAATCCTGAACTGCATGTATTGGGGATTGTTTGAAAAAAAAAACAAACTTTCGTTGAATCAATAAATTAACAGTTTTGCACTTGCTGGCTTTTCTTGCTGTAAATGGCGACTAAGAGGTTGGGACAGAAATCTGGACACCCTGTGGAAAGCTTGGATAAATCTTCAAGAACCGTGGAGCCAACTATTTCCTTCTGTTTGCAGAACAGCAACACTGCCTGGGTTGTGATCCCTTCCAAATGATCACTTCAGACACACTTGGCCACCTCTTTGTATCACTGGATGACTGATGTCTGATTGATGTGCTGCTGCCCTTAGAGGAAAGACAAGTGTCATGTGAAACCTTGTTTTCAAAAATAAAAATGTTGATAACCACCAGATTCCCAAGCGGGAGACAAGCCACTGCTATGAGGCCCTTAAACTTGTATTTCCTGTCTCTTGGGGGAGAGGAGGGGTGCACCTTGAACTGGAAAGATGTGTGTATGGGGGTTGCAGTTCATCACCACCTTCGTGTGGAGCTTTCCTTTATCAAGAGAGGTGGGACTAGAGTGGTGTCATGTGGGGCTTGTGCTGTTTCTTGGTACTTGCTCCAGAATCCCTCTCCTAGGCACCTGCTTCTGGGATTGGCCCATTTTAGTGCACAACTTTAACCTTTGTGGCTGAGTGTTCTGCGTTTATGAAAACCTCTCCCCACTCCCATTCCTTGCATCAAGAGCAGGCACACACTATTGTGTGTCTGCATTTGGCAGATGATGGTGTCTTTAATTAGTGTGCTTCTCACTGATGGAACCCTCAGTGGCGCTGGACGCTTGGAAATCAGTTGCTGAAGTGCTTAAAGGCAAATAGTCCTTTCTTTCTTGAACCTCACGCACCATGCGGCCTTTCTCAAGAAAGGCCTTTCTTCCTTTACCCAGAGGAAGTTTTCACGAAGCGATGTTTCTGTGACAGCTTCCCAGGGGCACAGTCCTTTTCTCTCGATGTAGTGCCGATCTGTGAGACGTTGCTTCTAGAATTCCGCTGCTGGCATCTCACCACCCACTTCACTGTGCTGGACATGGAAGGGAAAATGGGGTTTTTAGGCCATGCCTCACAGCTGCTCCCAGGGGAGAGTTAAAAATATTTGAGCTCCCTTTTTGCTCTTTGTTTATTAGTGGACTGGGCACTTTCCTGGTATAAATACAGTCCTCTGATTATTAGTCCCAAGACATCCTCAGTAAACGGGGTCAAGGCTGATGGGGACCCAGCGTTGGACTGTTGAGCCTGTCACTCAGCTTGCTCAGAACAGTCGAGAGGCCTCGGTGCTCCTAAATCTGCACTCTGAACCCAAGAGGCAGGGAGGAGACTCGGGCACACATGCTGTGTCCGGAGCTTTCCCCTCTTCCTCCCAGGAGCCTGCACCCGAAACCGCCTCTGCTAGTGGTGATCACGAGAGGAAGGAAGAGGGTATTACTCGAACCCCAAGATTGTAGAGTTAGTTCTTACCAGGTTTTCCACACAGTGGCGTGGGAAAGTCAAGCTTGCACACTGTTCCCAGCACTCTTCGAGAGAAGGAAGCCACAGGCAAGTGGAGGCCTGTCCTCTCTCCGGGTCAGATTGATTAATGTCGTCTTTCCCCTCCTCCCATCTCTTTCCCCAGGTCTGTTGCGGTTCCTCCCACTTTTCCATAAGCAGAACAAGAACCAAATCAAACGTCTTAACGTGTGTAGAGCGCGATCACGTTCCGTGAGCAGACACAAAATGGTGGCAGGTTTGGCGAGCACGAACCAGACCAACCGAAGGGCAGCCCGCCACCGTATTTCAAACCTCACTTCTGAATGTAAAAGGTTCACACGCCTTTGGCTTCCTGTTGACTTCCTCCTGACCCAGAAAGCATGGGAAATGTGAAGGGTATGCAAAATGGTTGTTGGTTACTGTTGCTCTCCCGTGCCCCTTGACTCGGCCTGTGGCCACCTGTTTTTCCAGCAGACCACGTTAACTAGCCGACCACAGACTCCACAGTGGGGAACGGGGGGCAATATATGGCATGACGGGCAGTTACATATTATAATTTTAAAAGTATATATTATTGAATAAAAGGTTTTAAAAGAAACGTATGGAGAGTTTTCAGTGTGGAAGGGGCCGTTAACCAAGACCCGTGGCCACAGAGGACTGAGTGAAAAAGAAGAGCAGGTTCTAGCCAGAGGAAAAGCAGGGGGAGTCCCAGAGGTGAGGAGGGCCGTTTTTAAGGACGCTCTTGACCAGGGATGAGAAGTTGAACAGGTATGGTGAACTAATCCTGGGAATGGGGCAAACCACAGGTGACTCTAGTAGACTGGGCGAGCCAGGAAAGCCATGTTTTGCCTTGACCCTTCCTTCTAATCCAATGACTAGGCGGTAAACATCATCTCTAGTGACCTCCAGAAGATGCCTTAGCCCCTTCTTTGCTTTCCTTTTGCTGGTGTCTCCATAGTTCATTCCACTTCCCCATTTTGCCCCTCTTCCCCATGGCCCCTTCTGAAAAAGCATCTTAGCTTGGAGGCTGGTGGAGTCT